GTGTGTTTGAGTAAATACTTTTATTTGGCATATTGTTTGTCTTTTTCTTGTTCTTCTTTTTTTTACTCACGCTTGGAATGTATTGAGGCATGCGAGCCTCGGCAACGGCATTATGCTCGTACGCACACACCCAATATAGTGTATATAGATACTACTTATATATACAAGTATTTTTGCCAGTTGATGAATTTCACCTCGACCTCCTTCAATTGAAGCAGACGTTCTGTTTTCTGGGTGTCGGCATCTGGCCAACGTCATCGTCATCGCCATCGTCATCTCCATCTCCATCTTCATCTTGAAGTGTTGGTGTTGCAAAATATGTGCCCATAGAACTCATTTAAATATAAATAAATATATAGCATGTACTTAGTATATAAATAGATCTCGATTGAATGCCCATAATGGTGTCGAATAATGCACGATGATTACGCCAATGATGATGATGTCATCGTTAATGCGATTCAAAAATAAATCGTAGCGCCGCTCCACTGTTCACACGAAACTGATTTCAGATTTCTTATTGCATATCAACAAACGCACGACTTGTTTCTATTTCGCTACAATAACACAATACACTAATGCGACTTTCAGAACCTTGTGCACGCTTTGATTCTGCCTGAGGTTGACATGACTCAGACATCAATCGGAGACATACGTGTATAGTAGAGAGATATAGTACAAGTATATCTCTCTCAGTGAACTGTGCCGGCCGGCATTAATTTCGCCTCAAGCACATTTCACTTCCAATTGCCATTGAAACTAAATTACTGGCGATTAACATGTCGGAACTCAACAGATCTCTGTTCAATGTCGTTAGACATATGTACATATGCAAGATAAGAATAGCATTAGGAATTAAATCGAAAGTGGGGGAATAGAATAGAAGGCGCCAAAATAGCTATTGGATTACTCATCAGAAGCTCATATACTATATACCATGCTAAATTATTAAATCTCATATTTAGAGTAAGAAAAACAACATGAAAAGTTATGATTAATCTTTATATTCATATTATTCGTAATATCCCCTCTTTCTAAGATATGCCAGAGCATTGTCGTACAAAGGGTATTAATTAAACTACATTTATCAAATTTTGACAAAGCTTTGTTTCTAAACATTATTTCTATTTGTAAGGCTTCACGGATCTTTGCATAATGGCCTATAGTTTTTGAAATATAGTATTGCAATGGTTCTAAAAATGAATTTTTAGTTGATTAGTTGTTTATCAATTTTACAAATTAGAGGACAATTTGATACGATCGTTTAACAAAACTAGTTGAAGGAGTCAAAGATTTGAAGCGCATTTTACAAGACTACAAAATTTAATAACCAATTTATAAATATGCACAAATAAAAAAATAAATATCTAATTTATTATTTTTTCCCAGAAATTTTGTGATTTCATTTAATTTTTAAATGTATCAGTCAAAAGCCTATTAATTTTCATTAATGAATATTGAAAACTACTAATATTAATAGCAACTAAATTCTGTAGCGAGGGGAGGAGAGGGAAAATAAAGAAAATAAAATAAACTCATGTAGCTTAGGCACTAGGATTAAAGTGCAGGGTACAGGGTATAAAAAGAAATGCCTTGGGTGTAATAGATTTTTCAACAATAAAGAGGCGCATATCTCTAATTGACAGCTATTTTGAGAGGTTTCCCACAATAAAGAGTGTTTCGAAGCTCTTGAGCAGCGCTAGGAAGATGTGTGGAGCTAAAAGGGAGAAAATAAAGATATTTTTTCCCCAACTTGGACACTATTTTCCACTATTTTTTGGGGCCAACTGACTTAATAACAACTTTAAGAAAAACTGCTACAGATAAATAAGTACTATATAGTCTATACAATATGCTATTTGATTATACATATGTGTATGTTTACATGAAATATCCCTTACAACTATATGTTTCGAAATTCCAACTGACCCCAACACATGTGATCTGCTAAGCTATATAGCGCGTATTTCTCAGTGGCGAGTGGCGAGCCAGAAACGCAAGAAACTGTTATAAATTAAGAGATGTTTGTCTTCGTTTTGGGTTTACTTCTCGCACGACAAGCGCACGCTGGTTTAATTCTCACCAATTCTTTTGTATATTTTTGAACACATGATGACGCCACCAGCTTTATGTGTAAGTGTGTGTGTGTGTGTGTGACACACACACACACACACACACTTATTACTTACGTGTGTGTTGTCCGAAAATGTATTGGGACGTGATCTTTTGAGTGCCGTTTTTTTAAATTTTTTTTTTAGGGGTCTTTTAATTTGTTTTGGCATTAAAAAGTATCTAGTCTTTAGTTGTATTTTTATAGAAGGCAATATATGTGTATCTTATGGTTTTTTTGTAGTTTTGTTTGTCTGCTTGCCTCACGATTTTCGGCCCTATAAAGACAAAACTAGTTCGGCCAGTTCAACAATCGCAAGTTTCGATCGCTAACATGACTGTGTGTCTGTCCGTCTGTCCGTCTGTCTGTCTGTCCGTCTGGCTGTCTATTTGTTTGGCCGTCCTTCTGTATTCCAACGCGCGCCAATCATTTGCAATACACTTACAATCAATTAAAATCTAAATTGATTGCATTTTACTTTTCATTGCATCGCTTCGCACAATTGACTCCCTTCTATTTCACTTTAATCGAACAAACGAATACATATATTCCTACTATACTTGACTGCCTAGCTTTACAAACCCCGAGCTCGTTCAATCGAAAGCAATTTCGCGATGGTCGGTATGGGTGCGGCTTATAGAAAATATTAATTGTTGATCAGAAAAAGGGAGAAAAAGTTGGGGATGCATTGCATGACAGATTCCACAAGTTTACTGATCCTTTCTCATAGTCCTAACCCGTCACTAATGCGGCGTAATAAACTAGTCAATTGCTAATCTAGTTATTATATAGTATAGTATATATTTCCTTTATGTTATTTCAAACATTCAATTCTTAAGTGCAGCGCTGAATAATCGCCACTTTATCGGCATATACAAAGAAATGGGAATGGAATTAAAATAAGAACATGACGCTGCCTCACTTTGCCGGCTTATATAGCTTATATATGCATATCATATACGAGTATGCGAGCATTTAAATATGAACAGATGTGTGCGACTCTAAAGTTATGTCATTGTTGAACTTGAGCCGCTTTTTGTTTCTTCTCGATTCAGCTCGACGTGAGCTTCGAACGCGCATTTGACTTTGCGGGCTTATTAAAAGGATGCGCAGCTGTTGCTGCTTCAAGAGCTTCTTTCGGGCTCTGAAACTTTCAAAAACATCTGCCCAGTTTCCCAGGCATAGCCATATCCATACTATGGCTCGCCTCCGCCTCGCCCCACATTGCTTTGCATAATTACTTAGTCGGCTGGCGTTTGAAATAATTATAACATGCATGCCATGCGTACCATAAATTACAAATTTTGCGACTAGCCTTAAGTCATTTTTAATAGCCGTCATATATATATTTTATATACCCTTACTCGCATGTGTGGAAAATAGTTGAAAATATTTTCGGGGCTCTTGCGGTGGTTACACAAGTTTTATCGCTCGGTTTTGTGGCTCCGGCTTTCGCCAGTTAAATGGGATTTCGCTCGAGTTTAATGCGCGATTTTCTCTCAGCAGAACAATAATAACAACAAGGTGGAGCCCTGAACATATAAACAGGCTATAAAAAAAACTGCTGCATCCAATTACCGACCTACATACCAAGAACTGTCATCGTATGACATCATGGGGGGTGGCGGAGAACAGAATCAATTCAAAGTTTGCCACCCAATGCGTCAGTCGCCCGCCATCAGGGCTGGTAATTTCATTATTCTGCTCCATTTTATTTACGAGCTGATGAGAGGCGGACTGGCGCCAAACTAAGCCGTCCATAAGACCCCGTTAAGCAACTTGGACTGCAAATATTACGCACTGCAGACATTTAATGATCCACAGGCGCCCACACACGCGCCAACTCTAGGACGAGCTCTGCCACCAACTGGCTACGTGGTGGACAGGAAACAGTAGTTGAGGCTAATGAGTGCTGATTTGTTTTCAAGAAGTTGTACCCTGTCTGCCCTTTCGACAACGATTTAGTTAAAAGTACTTGTATTCCCAAATAAAAAAGAAATTAAAGTATACAGAAAAATAATTTGCTTTTATTGCTTCTTGGAAGGTCAAATGCATACTCACAAGAAAGACAAAAAGAATATCTCTTGTTCTCTATGAAATCTCTGTGAGAACAAACATTTTTGTGATAAATTATAGTATTAAAATAGAAGCATCCGCCGACTACACTGAGATTAACTGCTTTAAATGAAATATATATTTAGACTTAAATCTAATTGTATTCAACAAGTTTTTTTGTTACTCGTGCTTAGATTCTTCAAGAGAAAATGAAATTAAAAGGCATTGTAAATTGAAAGCAGAAATATTATAAGCATGATAAACTAAAAGAAATCCAAAGTGTCCATTTAGTATTTGCATTGAATCGATTGACTTATTAGTTTCATATTAATGCCAAAGCAATAGTTTGTTTGAGTAGGAAACTCGTACAAGATTTTCCAGATTGAAGGACCAACATCGAGGTAGATTTAAGAATTGTGCATGCTTTTAAATAAAATTGAATAAAGGTATGTTAGATCTCTTAAAGGATATAGAATATATATAGATATATAGATAGGAGAATGTTAATTTTCCCATGTAAATGACACATATTGGTAGCTAAATGTAATCGTTTCATAGAAAAATAGCTTTTATTTATCATGCACATTATAGTCGTTTAGTGAACAGAACTTCACGATTATAGATGATTAGTCATTTATCAAAAAAGTTCTATCATATGGATGAATAAATCGAAGCACCTTGACATGAAAACGACTCTGTGACAAATGCTCTCCTTAGTTCCAAAGTATTGTCCGTTTTTTCAACTGGTTTCAAACTACAGTTTTTTTTAATGCGTATAAATATAATGCAGTTGAAGACATTCATTAATTGTGTATTTTTCTTGCTTCCGTTGCAGACAAACCCTTCAAACTGTTTGCGTAACTGAGCGCCCATAAAGAATGCCGGCGGAAATTAAGCCATCCGCGCCTGCTGAGCCGGAAACGCCAACCAAGAGCAAGTCGAAGAGCAATACACTGACATCCTCGAAAGCGGCGTTGGCGCGTGTCACGCTGCTCGATGGCTCCCTCTTGGATGTGACCATCGATGTGAGTCTCTTAGAGCGTCAGATAGCATTGACAATCCCCTTAAACGTTTGCACTACTTTCAACAGCACAAGGCGAAGGGTCGGGATCTGGTGAACTCGATTTGTGCTGGCCTGAACATACTGGAGAAGGACTACTTTGGCCTAACCTATGAGACGCAGGACGATCCGCGCACCTGGTTGGACTTGGAGAAGCCTGTTTCGAAATTCTTTCGCACAGATCCCTGGCCATTGGCGTTTGCCGTCAAATTCTATCCCCCAGAGCCGTCCCAGCTGCAGGAGGACATAACGCGCTACCATCTCTGCTTACAGGTGCGCAACGACATCCTTGAAGGTCGCCTGCCCTGCACTTTTGTCACTCATGCACTGCTCGGCTCCTACCTGGTGCAATCCGAAATGGGTGACTACGATCCCAAGGATATGCCAAATCGCTCCTACCTCAAGGACTTCAAAATTGCGCCCAACCAAACGCCAGAGCTGGAGGATAAGGTCGTGGATCTGCACAAGACCCACAAGTGAGTGTGCCCGTAAAATTACCTTAAAGACGTACCTAATACTTTATTTTGTTACTGCAGAGGTCAATCGCCCGCCGAGGCCGAGCTGCATTATCTGGAGAATGCCAAGAAACTGGCCATGTACGGTGTGGACTTGCATCCTGCTAAGGATTCCGAAGGTGTCGACATAATGCTAGGCGTGTGTGCCTCCGGCATTATGGTCTATCGCGACAAGTACGTGTCTGGGAATAAGTACAACCTTAATAGAGCTGTGCGTGAATGCACGAAAACAACAGCAATTCACGAAGTCACGCGGTCTCACAAAAGAGTTTTTCCCATTCAACGGATCCATATGGATATCAGAGTTATAGGAGACCTATAAACATATAAAGTGTGCTAGAAATTATAACCTTTAAAGACAGGAATAATAAGAAATAATATTTAAAAACAAATACTTGCAAATGTAAGGGTATCGTGGGAAGCAACAATATCGTAATTATAACTAAAAATTCGTCTCGTGAATCCATGTTTTTGTCACGCGCACAGCTCTAATTTTAAAGATTAGAACCTTTAAAGACAGGAATAATAAGAAATAATATTTAAAAACAATACTTGCAAACGTGAGTGCATCGTGACAAGCAATAATTCATTAATTTCGTAAGAAATACCTAAAAATTCGTTTCGTGAATGCCTTTTTTTTGTCACGCGCACAGCTCTAATTCTAAAGATCAGAACCTTTAAAGACAGGAATAATAAGAAATAATATTTAAAAACAAATACTTGCAAACGTGAGTGCATCGTGATAAGCAATAATTCATAAATTTCGTAAAAATACCTACAAATTCGTTTCGTGAATGCCTTTTTTTTGTCACGCGCACATCTCTAATCCATAGCAGCAATCCAGTCTGTAAACATTCCATATCATTCCATATTGCAGACTGCGCATCAATCGCTTCGCTTGGCCGAAGATATTGAAGGTGTCCTACAAGCGCCATCACTTTTACATCAAATTGCGACCGGGCGCATTCGAGCAATACGAATCGACCATTGGTTTCAAGTTGGCTAATCATCGCGCGGCCAAAAAGCTGTGGAAATCGTGCGTGGAGCACCACACCTTCTTCCGGCTGATGACGCCGGAGCCTACTACCAAGTCCACGCTGTTCCCACGTTTCGGTTCCAAATATCGCTTCTCGGGACGCACCTCGGCAATGATGAAGCAGACGCCTGTCGATCGTCCGGGACCTAAGTTCGATCGAGCCTTGTCCGGCTCCAACTTGAAGTCCCGCAGCATGAATGGTAGGTGAAGAGTTTCCGCAGCTGTTCACTTTTAATCGAATGACTCGTTTGGTGCTTAGCTCTGGCCTTGACCGACAAAGACAAAGATGCGCAGAAACGTCACACTCTCGGCCATCAACCTGATCCCGATTCGCCGCACAGTATCAGTCCAATCAAAAAGGACAAGAAGGACAAGGTATCTATCAATATTCCATTGGGGCAGCTGTCGCCTAGATTCAATCCAATTGATATGAACATGTTCAACAATTTTTGGGACTTTAACAAGAATGTTTTTTTTTTACCTTTTTTCTCGGTTTGTTACTAACACACAAACACATACAAACCAATCCGATACACACAAACACACACACACACACCCGAAACACCATTGCAAACCAAACGACTCCGTGTCCACGATGCTCTGCCTAACACGATCGTACGATCATTTCTGTGGCTGTGGCCGTGTGTTCGAATCTAACTAATCCCCACCATTCACCCAAATGTAATTCCCTAACACCCCGAAACCAAATCGTGCAACAGTTAATACGCGAATCGAGCACGGGCACAGCTTCAGCCTCCTCGCAGAGTTCCCTCGAGGGCGACTATGAGACTAACATCGCTGCTGAGTCAGCCTCCGCGGTTCTCGACCATTCGCCACCAGATCAGGTTACTTTTTGAAAACTTTTCTAAATACCCCAAAAAAAAAAAAAACGAATTTCAATTGCCTCTCTTTTGCCTCGTCCTTTAATTTACTTTCTTGGCTTTTTGGATTCCTGTAAGCTTCAGTATCGCGAGATTTTGTTTTTATTGAGGGACTTCAGACATATTCTATATATTGATTTGTATCCTATTATTTTTTGATTATTGGTTATTTTTCTTTCCTCATGAAAAGACTTCCTTTAACTCTGGCACAGATTTGAATGCGCAGTTCCCTATGACGGTAATTCCTATCTAAAGAAAACCATTCATGTGTATACAATTCTTCATTAGTGCGTCCAAGTGCTGTTCGTCCAATATATAAGCAAATTCATAAACGTACCTTCAGAAGTATCTGTGCATTCGACTTTGTTATGTCCATATTAAGTATTTATGTCTACAATAATTATATACTCGTATCTATGTACTATGTATGTTTGTCTATTTTAATACTTGGTTTGCGGTATCTATGTAAACGATCCTCATCTCGCTTTGAAGGCCTAATAAGTGTACATAAGATGTTTCAGAAAAGAAAATCCTCGTAGTTGTAAAAAATGTCCTGAAATCTACGCATTCTACTATATACTATAAATGAAAATACAATTAATATTTAAGCCTGTTTCCATTTTCGAATTGGAATCTACTTGCATTTTTAAAATTATAAATGTTCTCATAAGAGATATTAAGCTATTCTGTTTTTAAATGTGGCAAGTTTCCACATTTGAATGGAATTCGGAAATGGAAACATGTCCGAGTTTCTTTTGTAAATAATCGTTTTACTTTCAAAACTACACATTTATGCTAAGAATGTTCTCAAAAGCGAAAAAAATCAGGAAAATTTTTTAAAATTGTATTCCAAAAACGATTTCTTTTTACATACTTACATAAAACATTCGAATAGTAAAATCAAATACTAGCACAGTCTACACAGCAAGAAAACAATAACTAAACATTTGACAAAACTTACGTGTCCTCATTTCCTTCGTTTATCAAGTTTATTGTATCAATATTGTTTTGTTAATCGCCCGTAGTGTACATCCTTTCAAGAAATTTCACTTTAGTTGCATGTAAGCTTTTGCGCCTGCAGATCTGTTGTCATCTTTTGTGCTCCTAATATTGTGAACCCATTGTGTACCGTTTGTGTCTGAAGTACTTATAATGCCTAATTGTGGTTAAAACTATTCGCAGGACGCGGAAAAGGAAGCCAAATTGCGCGAGAAAAAGTTGAAGGAACAAAAGGAAAAAGAGGAGAAGGAGCGTAAGGAGAGAGAGAAGCGCGAGCAAAAGGAGAGGGAGAAGGCCGAAAAGGCAGCCAAGGCCGCAGCAGCCGCTGCTGCCGCCGCCACCAATGGTAACAAACGGGCTCTGACATTCCAAACCTTAAAAACCCATTAATCAAATCTACACCAATTACAGGCAATGATGATCTGAATGATTCGAATAAGTCCGACAAGTCCGGCAGACGTGTAAGTATTGTAGAATCAGGCCTAGCTTAGCTTAGTTTAGTTGATATATTAAATAGGCTAAGGGCTAGACTTGCGTAAGACCTTTGAGCACAGAATGTGTTTCCGAACTCGTGTATATACAAAAACCCATCCATTAGACCTCCTTCCCCCACTCACACTTTAAGTTCAAGTACTCGATTTCTAAGTTAGTCTGTAGCGTACCCGACTTTTACTTTGGTATACCCATTTTAATTTCGTTTTTCCCTCTCCAATGTGTTTTCTTGATTTCATTTTTGGTTCCATCTTATGATTTGTGATCCCATTCGAACCCAACGACACGCCAACAGGGCGTCGGCATCTTCAGTTCGGGTCGCAAGAGCAAGAGCCATTCGCCATCGAAGGATGGCAAGGACAAGTCCGGCAAAGATAATGCCGGCGATGTGGGTCGTCTTGGTCTTGTCGTCACAACCGGTCAGGGTGAGCAACAGCAGCAGGATCCAAATAAAAATGCAGCTGGCAATCGTGGCTCCACAACTCCGGGCGTTACACGTCCCTACGAATATGCCGTCGATGCTGATGGCAATGCCAGCCCAACGCGCAAATCCTATCCACCTGGCGGTTTCCGCTACGATCAGGACCCCAACAGTGGAAAGCAAGTGGGCCCAGACGGACAAGAGCAGCTCTCACCCACCTCGCAGCAAAAGAAAATCGGCTTGGCCTTCAACTACGCCCCAGGCAGTGAGAATGCATTGAAGGAGACAGCTGAGAAGCTCAAGTCCGGGCAATTGTCGCCACGCACCCAAGATAAACTAAATCGTGGACAGCTGTCGCCCAAGTCCAGAGCCAGGCTCTTGCAGGATGGCAACTTGTCGCCCACCACGCGTGCCAAGCTGCAGGGCAGTGCCGTCGATGCGGCCGCTGTGCCTCTAAGTGATGCCCAGAAACGCTCCTACTCGCCTACTAAAGCGCCCGGTCAAGGTTATTCCTCGGGTGCGCCTGGAAGCTACAAGCCACTGGTTGATCCCACAGCAGCTTTTCTTGAGTCACAGCGCTACGATAAGGAGCCCGGTTATGTGGGTCTTGGTGGAAAGGACGGTGCTCAGCCTGGTGCTGGTATTGCTGGAGCTGGTGGTGCTGGAAAGCCTGGCTCACCTACAAAGGCGGCTCCTGGCCTCGGCGCCGGCATTGCTGCCGGTGCTGGTGCCGCCGCTGCTGGTGCCGCCGCTGCTGCTGCCGCCGCTGCCAAGCCCAAGAAGAAGCGCGTTAAGATAATGGTCATCACCTCCAAATTCGATCCAGCCACCAAGCGCATTGATTCAGAGAATGGCACCATTGACCACTCGACAGGCATCCTCGATCCCGCCACGGGTCTCATCGACACAAAGTATGGCCTTATTGATCCGAAACGTGGCACCCTAGAGGCTCTAAATACCAAGACGGGCAAGAAGGAGGTATTCCAGGGGGATGTTGATCCCAAGACCGGCAATTTGCACTTAATTTCAGGCGTATCTGATCCCAAGACGGGACGCATCGATGATTCTTTGGGACAGATTGTGTGCATCACGCCACAGGATAATCCTGTTGTGGAGCTAACGGTTATTACCAGTCGCATTGATCCGGCCACAGGCAAAATCGATACTGTCAATGGTGAGGTGGAGCGCTCGTTGGGCGTTCTCAACCTGGACACTGGTCTGCTGGACACCAAGTATGGAGAGATCAATACACGCACTGGCGAGCTGAAGGCCATCGATCCGAAATCTGGAAAGATTGTTGTCACCAAGAATGTCAAGGTTGATCCGGGTACTGGTCAAATAACCATACTGGGCGTAGTTGATCCCAAGACCAACAAGATCGATCCCAACCAGGGTCGCATTATCGAGGTCGGCCAACAAATCGATCCGATTGTCGAGGTCACCTCACTGGCCGGCAAATTTGATTCGAAGAAGAACGTTATCGAGCCCAAGACAGCCCAAGTAGAGACTTCGGGCGGCCAATTTGATCCAAAGGCTGGCAAAATTGATACCAAATATGGCCAAATCGACCTCGTCAAGCACACCATCACATTCGCCGACCCCAAGACGGGCAAGACTGTGACGCGTGACATTAAGATCGATGCTGCCACGGGCCAAATCGTGCTCAAGAATCAAATAAACCCGAAAAACAAAAAACCAGACAAGGACTATGCTCGCATCATTTCGCTGCGCATTGTACAACAGCGCGTCGATCCGGCAACCAAGGCACCCATTGCCCAGGTCAGCGCTGCCAAAGACAAGGACATCATTGTCGATCCCAAGTCCAATCAAATTTGGGTACCAACCGGAGCCAGCGATCCCAGCACCAAGGAGCAACAATACATTTCCAGCAGTGTCGACCCCAAGACCGGCTATGTTATCACCATCTATGGCTACCTCGATCCCAAGACCAATGAAATCAAGAAACAGACCAAGCTCGACCCCAACACAATCAAAATTGAACCAAACTCTGGCAAAATCTACACAGCCACCGGCGAGGTGGACAAGGCCACCGGTGACCCTCTGTATGCCACAACGCAAGTCGATCCCGAGTCCGGCGAGGTTTACACCAAGCTGGCTCGCGTTGATCCCAAGACGGGCAAAATCGTCATCGTTCGCATACTGCTCATCTCCAAGACCGACGAGCGGGGCCGTCCCGAGGAGATTGACCCAGAAACATGCGAAATCGATCCAGTTTCTGGTCGTGTTCTCAAATTCTTCAACAAAACTGTTTATGTTTATAATATGGTTGATCCCATTACTGGTGAAATTGTACAGGTGGACCCCAACGACCCCCGATTTGCTGGCGCTCGCACTACTGTGACCCACACGATGACGCTGACGGGCGAAATAGATCCGGTGACGGGACGCATCAAGAGCGAATATGGCGATATTGATCCAAACACTGGCGACATTGATCCAGCCACAGCCGTCCGGGATCCAGTTACGGGCAAACTGATTCTAAACTATGCCCAAATCGATCCTTCGCATTTCGGCAAGCAGGCCCAGGTCCAGACCACAACAGAAACGGTGCCCATAACACGTGAACAGTTCTTCGATGGCGTGAAACACATTAGCAAGGGTGCTCTGCGCCGCGACTCCGAGGGCAGTTCCGACGACGAAATGGTTAAGCAGTACGGCACTGAAGAAGTCAAGGATATCGTCCTGGGCAGTCCACAGGCAACAACGTTTGGTGGCAAATACGTGAGCACGCCCACAGTGGTGAAGACGACGACGAAACAGGTGCTGACCAAGAACAACGATGGCGTGACACACAACGTGGAGGAGGAAGTGCGCAACTTGGGAACTGGAGAGGTTACATATTCGACGCAGGAACACAAGGTTAGCAGCGGGGGTCTGAAAGATAAGAATAAGCTTACGCTCTTTCGCTCTCTCGCTCTCTTTGCTACTAAAGAGAGCAGCTTTGTCGTGCATCTGTTGCTCAATTTATTCCTCAAGCAGTGCACTCTGAACGCTTTCTCTCTTTCTTTCCTAACTTCTTCTATGCCTTACTTAAATACTGACTTTTTTTTTTTTAAATTTGAATTTCCGCTTTCCTTTGCTACTTGCTGTTGCTTTTGTTTTTGTTGTTGTTGTTTTTGTTGTACTTGTAACCACACTAACCCTACCAACCACTTAGGCTGATGCACCACCTACCGACTCGAGCGGTGCTTATGTTACTGCCACCGCTGTGACCACCCGCACCGCCACCACGCACGAAGACCTTGGCAAGAACGCGAAAACGGAACAGCTGGAGGAGAAGACCGTTGCCACCACCCGCACCCACGATCCCACGAAACAGCAGCAGCGCGTTGTCACCCAGGAGGTGAAGACGACGGCGACGGTCACGAGTGGCGATCAGGTAAGTCGGCATCGCTGCACCCTTGATTTGCATGATCGAACTAAAAACTGGTTTCTATTTTTTTGTAATTCGTTTTATGTTATTATTGCCTTTTCTTGCCGATGTTGTTGTTGTTGTTATTGTTGTGTTGTTGTTAATGTTGTACTTGCACGCGTAGTATCAGAGACGCGGTAGTGTATCGTCGACCAGCTCCGGAGACTCGGGCACGCCTATCGATGGACCCTATGATGGCTCCAGTGTGGTCCGCACACAGGTCTGTATTTTAGTAATCCAGTAGAGGCATGTTTCTGTGTAAAAACTTATCACTCGTCGTATCGATAGCACGATCCCAAGTAATCCTCTAACTTCATTTCTCAACCACAGAAATCTCCGGTATATGAAACCTCCACAACCACATCCACTGGCCCCCATGTTGAGAGCACGCGCGTCGTTCTAGGCGAGGATACGCCCGGATATTCCGGACATGGTGAAATAATCTCCACGCAAACAGTGAGCAGTAAAACACGTACCGTGGAAACGATTACAGTAAGTACCATTTGGATTATTTCCTCAATCCACAAATAATGCCTCCAAACAGCCCTCCAACATTAAACGTACCCCTTGTTCTATGGTCCGTAAGTAAGAAAGAAAGTGTCCGATTCCTAAATATAAGTTCCAGCTCTTTTGTAACTGCTGTCCTGCATGTTATAAGTATCTCATCGCATTGTACAAATATGGCATTAATTAGTCCCTTGTTTGATGGGGTTATGGGTATCATCGAAATTCTCATTCTCTCATCTTAAATATCTAGTGGGAAGTAAATTCGATTGACTTGTGCACCAGAGATAGTAAACCAGGTTAGCCAGGCTATTGCAGAAAAATATATCCACCAGGCCTCTTAAATTTCACAGTTTTGGAACTCGTCTAAGAGTATTACTTACATATATCCAATAATCGAATCAATTCTTCCACACTCAGTACAAAACCGAACGAGATGGCATTGTGGAGACGCGTGTGGAACAAAAGATAACCATACAATCCGATGGCGATCCCATTGATCATGACAAAGCGTTGGCTGAGGCAATACAAGTGAGTTCAGAGTCCTATTCCCCAGATGGAAATACCACTAATGGCATACCCTTTCGTTTTGAATTTTGCAGGAAGCGACGGCCATGAATCCAGACATGACAGTAGAGAAGATTGAAATCCAACAGCAAACGCAGTAGATTTAAATGTATTTTTAATATGTATTTTGAAGTAAAAAATGCACACACACACCCACACACATACACACACACACAATCACTCAGAATACAGCTACATATAATTAAAACCCACACACACACACACAGCACCACACTCAGAGTACACCTTTTATACTATTATATACATTATGCTTACATATGTATGTGTGTATACTATATCTGCGAAATGAACCCACATGACAAAACAAAAACATTAGAACAGACCACAATACAATCGACAATGCATTATAAGAAACAAACCAGAATAATACAATTCGGAAGTATTTATATATAAACAAACAAAACAAAACAAAACAAAACTATTATCTACAAAAGTAAAGAGAAAACATTGAAAAATATTTACAACTGTCTGTAACAGTAGCAAGATATACAAATGTTTATTATTTTTTGTATTACATAATGTTGTTTTTTAATTACTATACTTTTTATTATGTGTAATGAATTACATTGAGAATATAATAATATTTGATGTGCAAAAGCAAGTTTAAAATTCTATATATTGTAAAACCACAATTGCATTAAAATACAAATAAAATTTAAATGTACACAAAAGTGAACACTCTTTATGGACCCAAGGAAGTTCAGCTTCGGGAAATACTACATGTACGAGTATGTTTAGGCCAGAGCCTGTGGCTTGTAACTCATTAAAAATTCGCACGTGCGGGCCGCAACTATTCAGCTATGAAAGTGGCATTAAATTTTCAGTAATACTAGGTTTATTTAAAATGCACAAAACAACACCCTACAGGTACCGTAAACAATGACAAGAAATAATTTTACGCTCTTTTTTTTGTAATGCAAGAAATAATTGATTTTCGTAAAAATGTAGGTAGCCCGAAATGGTTAAGGTTGCGTTATAACTAATGCTAAAAATGCTACAGTCGAGTATGCCCGAATAAAAATAAAATGAACTCGTTCTTTCTCGGACCCATAGGAATCTGGATACCAACTTTGGTTATTCCAGCTCTTATAGTTTTTGAGATCCTTGCGTTTATCTAGACGGATGGACGGACATGGACTAGAAGCACTTAACTGATCAAGATCTGATAATATAATTGTAATTATTATAATTATATACGTTTTTTTGTTTTTGACTATATTGCTTAGGAAATGGGCACGCTGTGAATAACATACGTCACCACGTTTGCTGGTTTGCACTGTCCAAGTTGGCCCTTTGAACGACACTTAAACCAGCATTGTCTACCAGGTGAACATAAATGGGCAATAGGCAACTGCATTGCTTGTTTTTTTAATGTGCACAGCTGATTTTTGTTTACATTTCGGGAAGCACCGTTAGAATTGCAACTGTTTACATTTGAAATGCAACCAATAAGAGAGCCCCAATTTGCTTACATTTGATGTGCAGCCAACTTCAGTTTGTTTACTTTTCGCAATGCACCGCAAGGATCGCATTGTTTACATTTCAAATGCAGCCAATAGGAGAGCCCCAATTTGTTTACATTTGATGTGCAGCCAACTTCAGTTTGTTTACTTTTTGTTTTGTTAACATTCAAAATTTTAAATCCCAGCCGGCTCTTGTACTTGCTGTTCACTTATGCTCGCCTGGTGTATGAATACGCGAAATGGATTCTGATTTATATCCAATACCGAAACAAGAGAGGGTCGAGAGAGAGTCGAGGAAGCCCGAAATTTTAAAAAAATATTCTTAATACATACATACATAAGTGGAGACATACATATGTGTATGTTTCAACAGCATACATTTACATGAGAATCGCGTATACATGTATTTATATGCGTGTATGTATGCATCACAAAGCTGATCCAAAGACGCAATAAAAACAACAGCTGCGGGCAGAGCATGGGCAAAGATTATATGTATGGCTATAACTTTCTTAGGTCAATTAGACCAATTGGCATAAGGACACCTAATCACTAGCGAGATATAGTTACCAAGTTTCAGTTCAAAGTTCCAAGAATTACGGGAGTTATAGAAAAAAACACGAGGCGGATTGGAAAAATTAAATAAAAATTAATTTTTAAAAAATTGTGGCCGCATTCCTCTGCGGTTCTCAATCCAAGTACCTAAGTGAAGGCAAATCGAGATTTTAGTTGTGAAGTTTCTGATAAATTAAATTAAATAAAAATAAATTGTGAAATTTCTGATAAATTAAATTAAATAAAAAATATTGTGGCCGCCCTCCTCTGTGATTCTCATGCCAAGTACCTAAGTGAAGGGAAATCGAGATTTTAGTTGTGACGTTTCTGATAAATTAAATTAAATACAAATAAAATGTGAAATTTCTGATAAATTAAATTAAATAAAAAATATTGTGGCCGCCCTCCTCTGTGATTCTCATGCCAAGTACCTAAGTGAAGGGAAATCGAGATTTTAGTTGTGAAGTTTCTGATAAATTAAATTAAATACAAATAAATTGTGAAATTTCTGATAAATTAAATTAAATAAAAAATATTGTGGCCGCCCTCCTCTGTGATTCTCATGCCAAGTACCTAAGTGAAGGGAAATCGAGATTTTAGTTGTGAAGTTTCTGATAAATTAAATTAAATACAAATAAATTGTGAAATTTCTGATAAATTAAATTAAATAAAAAATATTGTGGCCGCCCTCCTCTGTGATTCTCATGCCAAGTACCTAAGTGAAGGGAAATCGAGATTTTAGTTGTGAAGTTTCTGATAAATTAAATTAAATAAAAATAAATTGTGAAATTTCTGATAAATTAAATTAAATAAAAAATATTGTGGCCGCCCTCCTCTGTGATTCTCATGCCAAGTACCTAAGTGAAGGCAAATCGAGATTTTAGTTGTGAAATTTCTGATAAATTAAATTAAATAAAAATAATTTGTGAAATTTCTGATAAATTAAATTAAATAAAAAATATTGTGGCCGCCCTCCTCTGTGATTCTCATGCCAAGTACCTAAGTGAAGGCAAATCGAGATTTTAGTTGTGAAGTTTCTGATAAATTAAATTAAATAAAAATAAATTGTGAAATTTCTGATAAATTAAATTAAATAAAAAATATTGTGGCCGCCCTCCTCTGTGATTCTCATGCCAAGTACCTAAGTGAAGGGAAATTGAGATTTTAGTTGTGAAGTTTCTGATAAATTAAATTAAATACAAATAAAATGTGAAATTTCTGATAAATTAAATTAAATAAAAAATATTGTGGCCGCCCTCCTCTGTGATTCTCATGCCAAGTACCTAAGTGAAGGCAAATCGAGATTTTAGTTGTGAAGTTTCTGATAAATTAAATTAAATACAAATAAATTGTGAAATTTCTGATAAATTAAATTAAATAAAAAATATTGTGGCCGCCCTCCTCTGTGATTCTCATGCCAAGTACCTAAGTGAAGGGAAATCGAGATTTTAGTTGTGAATTTCTGATAAATTAAATTAAATAAAAATAAATTGGGAAATTTCTGATAAATTAAATTAAATAAAAAATATTGTGGCCGCCCTCCTCTGTGATTCTCATGCCAAGTACCTAAGTGAAGGCAAATCGAGATTTTAGTTGTGAAGTTTCTGATAAATTAAATTAAATACAAATAAATTGTGAAATTTCTGATAAATTAAATTAAATAAAAAATATTGTGGCCGCCCTCCTCTGTGATTCTCATGCCAAGTACCTAAGTGAAGGGAAATCGAGATTTTAGTTGTGAATTTCTGATAAATTAAATTAAATAAAAATAAATTGGGAAATTTCTGATAAATTAAATTAAATAAAAAATATTGTGGCCGCCCTCCTCTGTGATTCTCATGCCAAGTACCTAAGTGAAGGGAAATCGAGATCACAGTTGTGAAATTTCTAATAAATTAAATTAAATAAAATAAAGTCTAAAGTAATATATCAAGAATAGGAATTTGTTTTAATCAAAGGCATTTGTTATGCCTTTCTTTACAATTATTTTTTAGGCTTCGCACTATTTGTGTGAAAATTATATGCATGTCTGTCCCGTCACATAACTTTTTTGAGATATTATTTTAAAGTTTCATACAAAGGTTTCAGTGGTTTTTAGCACTGACATCATCGCAATTAAATTAAATTACCAGCAATAAAAATGAACAAATAGAAAAATAAACGAAACTACAGCTCGTTGGCCCCCAAGTGATTTGAATAGTCGACGTGTGCAGGACGTGTTCGCGATAAGAGTCGCGCATTAACATGAAATCTAATTCGCAATTGCACCGAACCAGCGGCAAGGACGATGGGGACAACGAGACCGCAAAATGCCTGACGAATCATTGTAATGCAATATTTATGCCGAACGGCGACTCTGGGGTGGGGTGGGGATAAACCCTGGAGGCCTTGCTAATAATATTACGTTTCATGGCAGGAATTCTGCTCTCTACTGGTAGGCTCCATGCAATTTTTAAATTGCCGCCGCCGCCGCCGCACAACATGCAAAAAAGAAAAGGACGAAAAAATGTAGAGCCAGCGATTAAAACCGTGCAGGACATTACAACAAAAGCACAGCCAACAAATGCAGCGACAACAACAAAAAAATAGCAATTAAAAAGGCGCATACAAGGTGACTGACTAATGCATTGATTCATAGTTTAGATATACAAGTAAAGCCCGCCATGACCGATAAAATGCTAACCGAAAGGCGTTGAAATTTTGCGGTTACCAACGCGTTCAGTTTTCCGCCAGCTTGTCAGTCCGTTCGTCAGTTCGTCGTGCAGTTCGTCAAGCATTCTAAGTGCAGTGCAGAAAATTGCAATGCACCCCAACCCCCCCTCCCCTCCACACAGTGCCGTGGCAAGTCTACGCCCCCGACTTCAGGTGCTGACGCGTCCACGCTCTCATGTCCACCCCTTTCTGGCACCGGACACGATAACCAGTCGAGCCGAGTGCGCTTTTACCGTCTGAGTGCCTCGCTCATGAATTTTTAAATGTGCGTGGAAAAATCCCCCTGTGCGAATATTTCGGTTTTTGCTTTTTGCTGTTATTGTTTTCCAAACTCCTGCATATTGCATGTTGTTGTGGTCGGTCAATTTTAAATTTGAGCAACTAGCCAAGTACGAGTAGCAAGGATATTATTGCATCAAACTTTGTTGCCCACCAATGTTGTCCTTAACGCATTAGTTTGTATTTTACTTTTCCATGCTGTTGGGGTGGGGCTATTCTTCGAATTTCAAAAAGTCATAGTTAGACTGAAAAGTGCGCTTCTTTCCCAAATGGAGACCTCATTTCAATTCGAAATAGCTACGGGTCTATAGAGAGGCCGCATGCTTAAAAAGGCCTCATAGAGTTTGGCAAACCAGTATATAGTTCCTGAGCAAACTTTACATTTCCCTGAGGAATGGCTTTTATGGGATCTCAACACTTGAAAAGTACTAATTATTCCAGCGATCAAAATTATATCGTTTCTTAGCCACTTTTCAGCTAAACTTAAATTCGAAAGAGCTACGGGTCTATGAAGAGGCCGCATGCTTAGAAAGGCCTCATAGAGTTTGGCAAACCAGTATATAGTTCCTGAGCAAACTTTACATTTCCCTGAGGAATGGCTTTTATGGGATCTCAACACTTGAAAAGTACTAATTATTCCAGCGATCAAAATTATATCGTTT